ACAAGCGTATATTTGTACATGTATATCTTATTGCAGGTATACCAGTCTGGGTGGGAAAAGAACTATACACAAAATATGAAAAAGATAACAAACATAAGAGGAATGCTTTTATCGTTGGAGGAGTAACTGCGTCCGTAAGTTAAAATTTTATTCTTTATATTTATACATAGTAGATTTCATTTTTGAATTTATTAATATTATTAGATATATCGTATATGTATGCTAGATAAAGTAACGAGTATTTTACACAGTAGTACTGATTTGGCTTTGAAAATATTTTTCTTAAACAAAAAGACTAAAAGAAAAGAAACATTGATTGAAAGGTTGTAATAAAAATATTTACTTCCTGATAGACATTACTTAGGAATTATGTTTACATTTAAAATCACTCTACAGGTTCATGACAACATCAGAGTATATTTTATTTATATAGTTTGTACAAAGAAATGGAATAATATAATTATTGCGTATGTGAATTAGCGATAACAGAATATCGGTCTTATAACTGTTGCGATAATTGCGGGAAGAAATTTAGTCATAAGAAGAAATTTGAACGAAACGTTTAACTGTATTTAATTGGCTTAAGGAGAAAAGTTTTTTTCTTTCTTGTGGCACGTGTTTTTCGGCAATTCTTTTATAACGTCGAGTTGTACTTAATTTTAAAACTTTATATAACGTTTATTGATATTTCGGTGGCTCGATTCTCTTACTAAACTGTAGGATATACGTGTTGCAAGAACAATCCAGTATCGAAATATTTTCAAAAACACAAAAGTCTAACATCGATTCTATTTTTATCATGTCAATTAACTTGAATGTGACCTCGATTTCTTCAACTACCCGCAATTACATCATTATCGACACAAGCCTCTTTTTTTTTGCTCGAGATGAATCACGCGAATCGCAATCGTAACGCGAATGGCTAACGGATCGAATTGTCGAACGACGATCAGTCCCATAATTTCTCTTTCATCGATTTACATCTCGCGTAGAAGTATTAAATTTGCTGCAGCACTATCATGGGCGATAATAACGCTGACTAAGGGTCGTTTTCGCTGGCGGCGATCGCAGTCTCGTCAGTAAGTACACCCTCGCCATGAAGATCTTTTAGAACGTCGATTAAGCGTTGCTCGGTCTCGGGATCGCCCAGGGCAACGTCTACGGATCCAATACAAAGAAGAAGCGCGAGAAGTTGCGACCGCCTGTAGTCCTTGTTCAAATCATCCCTCGTGTAACCCAAATCTTTCGGAATGTCGACACCGAGACGTGAGCACGTGTTGGTTAGCGCGTCCCAATAAATATCAAGGAAAGTCTCTGAGTGCTTTCGGCGTAGCTCAGTTGGCAAAGAACTCACTAGCAACAAAGCGATGTCGTTAGTCGGTCTACTATAGGTAACCATTTGCCAATCGAGAATACAGCACTCAAGTCCAGACGGTCCTTCCTTAAAAAGTAGATTGTTGCACCAGAAATCTGTGTGTGTAATTAGCGCCAATGGTCCTTCCGGTGCAAGAAGCGCGGATATTATGTGTTTAGTTCTAGGACGTAGTACTAGTAGAGCGTCGAGTATCGTTTCCAATCCGGGTGTGCTTTTCAAAAATTTCGCAAGCTGTGGTAGGCCACGTTCGACAAGCTGTTGATACGAGTCTGTCGCTTTTGCTGTTTGAAAGAGGAATGGGTAACGTTCAGACAGAGGTTGTCCGTCGATTATTTTCATCGCTAAAGAATGCGCGTGGATACGTGCAATTGTATCTAACGCGACCTTTGTTTGATCGTACGTCAAACCTTCTCGAAATTTCACGTTTCGAAAATCGGAATCACGTAGATCGTGTAATACTAGAATCGAGTCTGGTGTCGTTGGGTTGTCGTCCGATTCGTCGGCTGGTGTGTAATGTGCATGATAACACACCGGAACAGACAAATGGATCTCCTCGTTCGAATTGTCCTCCTCGGATATTAATTGCTTCTTTTGAAAATCCTTCAAATCTGGCATAACCTAACGTTAAACAGATACAGAGTTATCATTTTACGGCTATTAATTTGGCAACGTGTAAAATTGTCTGTGTATCAATCGATCAGGCTTACCTGTGTGTAAAATTTAATCTCTCGAAGATCGAACTGGCCTTCGATAACGAAGAAACGACTGAACGCATCTTTAGGAAGCTCTTTCACGATAAGTGAGAGGTCTTGTGTGGTGTTCGAGTCGTTCAAAGCGTACTTGACTTTAACGCGAATTATAGCGCTGAGCGCGCTTTCGTTACTCATACAGCCCGGGCTTACGTTACGCTCGATTATCGTGACCTGTGTACATTACGGGTTAATTTTTCAAGCGATTCAACAACACTCGGGGTAGGCTACATCTTCAAATGTCTCGCATTTTTTTTTTTTTTTTCATTGCTAACAAAAGCATTTATAGGCTGTTTTAAACGATGCCGTGCAAAAATCCCTATATAGGCAATTGTTAAAACTGTAAATCATAGTTTCTACCGAACTAACCGGTTTTTTGTGAAATTCCCTTAGGATACCACCGAGCCACTCCTTGTCAATCTGCTTCTGCTCCTCACCGCAGGAAGAGTCTTCCGTGTCTTCCCAATCCCAATCGGTGTCTTCCCAATCCCAATTCGCCATGGTTTCCTTTCTTCAATTTCTCTCTCTCTATCTGTCTCTCTTTCTCTCTCTGTCTCTCTCTCTCTCTCTCTCTATCTCCCTTCGTTTGTTTATTCAATTAATCCGATTAATTCTCGAACGGTCGTTATTGTGCGAGGTATAATATTGTCGGTCCGAAAAATGAACGAAAAAAAGAAAAACCGTGAAAAAGAAAAAGAAACGAATAGAACCGTGTATGCGCGTGTGTGTGTGTGTATTGTACTTGTAACGTTTCGCGTGTCTCTACTCCCCCCAATCAATGCCAATAAAGCACATGTACGTTCTCGTGTACGATGATGCACTGGGAGAACGCGTCTCTATTCGACTGTTCACATATGACCGCACAAGCGTGTCGTTATATTATCGAGGCTTCGTGAAATCACCACCACCGTTAATGAATGGATTCGTCGCCGTGTCCCTTCCTCTACTTCCTGTTACGCCGACCGGTCCTCGAATATGTTCGGGCCGGCGTAGTTCGCCTGCCTCTCATCGGGGACTCTCCAAGTGTCTCCGCGACACAGACACACCCTTGCCGCAAAACTACCCAGACCCGAGGTTCTCCAGCCGGACCGTTTATGATCCCCGTAGCCACAGTGTGGATCTTAAGGTACCGACTGACACGATGCACGCTCCATCGTCAGCCACCTAGAGGTGGATGCAGGCCGCAGGGTGGGACAGAGAGGATCTCCCATGCGCGCACTCCTACCCGTCGATCAATATCCTTCCTTCCGCACCTCCCGCACCTTCTGCTCACCGTGCACTTTCTCTGCCTCCTGTTCCGCTGCCCCACGCTCCTTTCCACGCTCGATGGAAATCTAGAAAACAGATCACCGTGCGCCAGTAATCTCTTGGCTCATCGTGACACGTTACACGACTGCCCGAGATATATTTATTTCACCACCCGATGCCCGACCATTCTTCCTTTCGTCCTCCAAGGCTGCTCCGAGAAATTTTCACTTTTCCCCGAGACCATGTTATATGAGCGTTACCTAAGTACGCGCAGACCGTGGAAAAAAAGGAAGAGTCAATTTTGGAAATTTTGGGGATTTACGATAGATCGATGCGCAGGCTCTGTTCTTCCGTGGAGAACGATTAATTGGATGTAATTAGATTGTTTGGAGTTTGATGTTAGAGTGGAGAATATTTTAATTTATCGAAGTTTTTTTTTTTTTTTTGAGGAAAGTTTTTTTTTGTAATAATGAGATTTCGAAAGAACTTTAATGCAAACGCAGAAATTCGTACAATTGAAATTGGAGCATTTCTTTGCATTCACCGTTCGCATTCTGTCATTTTCGCGAGCGCAAATTGGAAGCGACTTATGAAGTACATCTAAAACATTCCAATTATTACTGTGTTTTTCTTTCTGGAAAAAAAGTGCTTTATAAAGGAAAATGTACAATTCTAAATTGTACAGCATGCATTCAGAAACTTCCGGCAGTATGAAACCACGTAACAATAGATCAACTATGGTTGAAAGTTTGCAATGTACTGTTAGACTTTTCTGCCTTGAAATTTTTTCGTTGGTCGATAGTGAATGACGATTGTATTGTCTTTCAACCGAATGAATATTTATTGTTCTTGCTGACTTGTTCGTAATGAATTCTATTTTAATAATTGCAATTACCGGCAAATTAATAAAAAATTTGAATTTATAATTAAACGTGTGTATAATACAATTTTCCTACTTGATTGTTGCAGGTTTTAGTGTCACCTATATTAGCGGGGCTAGCCGTCAGTATTGGTGTACCAATTTTATTATTTTACGTTTACGGCGTAGTCCCTATTTCACTTTGTCGAAGCGGAGGTTGCGGCGTTTCTACAAATGGAACGGGAGTACGATTTGATTTTGACGATGAGAATGAACTTATGGGTTCGTTAGGTGTTCGTAACGCTGGAGGTAAATATCCAATTCACATTTCAATATATCGTTCATGAACGTGTTTCAAGTATCTACGTAAAATAAGATGAAAGATCAAATGTAATTGAAAGAGTAATCTGTGTCATAGATGAAGCATCGATAGATGTTGCCAGTCATCGTGGTGGTAATCCTTCGATAGGAGAAGCATCTCTTTCGTTAGGTAGCGGAAGTCAATTGGAAAAATTGGGTCGGGAAAACGATCGCGAGAGTGCCAGTAACGTAGCTCTTGCTGGTACTAGTCTCGCGGGAAGTATAGCTTCTAGTGTCCTGCCAGGAGGTCAGAGGTAAAAATCGTTTCTCTTTTTTGTGTAACGTACAGCGATCAGAAACTTATAGATATAATTCGTTTATTTGAAAACAGATTGGAAGTTCAAGCGGATGTGACGTCCACCCAGCGATTCAGTTTGTGCAGTGAAACTGCCTCTGCTGCCACCAGTTTATCAGAGAAATCTGTAAACGCATCTATTGCTTTGGATGATGGCGCAGCTTCTACGAGAGCTTTGGCGGGCTCTGTTCTTAATTTTAAAGTATGTTGTGTTTGTCGAGAAATGTTAGCAGGATAAATTTTCTATGTTAATTGTAATTATGTTAATTGTTCAGATGGATGGAAGTTCAATCAGCGGTGGTAGAAGTACGGAAGGAGAACAAGGTACAGCATCTGTTGCTGGTGGTCATATGGACTCAGCAGGACAGGCTACATCTTTGAGTTCACTCGAAGAAGTAGCCCCTGGTTTAGCAAAACGAGCTCGACGCAAACCGACGCTAGATCGTCAGTGCAGTTATTCTAGTAATTGGATTGTTTTTGGAGAGGATGGAGATTCTGAACGTGTCAGATTCGACGATCATGTTAGTTTCATTGAAGGGGATAAGGAAGTTGTTAGCACTTGTGGAATGAATAGTCGAAGTGCAGGAAGACGTAAACGCAACAAGGAAATTGAACAAGAAACAGATGCTCAAAAGACTACGAAGTATGATGGAATTTAATTCAGTTATTTCACTCTCTTACGATCTTTTCAATGACAGTACAAATTGTACTTATAGTATGTTATCTTTATTTGTGTATTTATATATTTTTTTCAGAAATTCTACCGGGGAATCAAAGGTTGACTCCACAGATGACAACGTGTCACGGGAACGGATTAACGTTGCCACTTTAAGAAATGTCTTCTTCCATAGTTCTACAGTATCTTCGGATCGTGAAAAGCGACTATCAGTGATAGAAGAACCGTCTCCCGTAGCGGCACAGAATAACGGTGGTCGCTTTCCCACACCTTCTGATGAAGGATGCACCACTGCTAAAGCGGAGGAAGCTTTACGCTTTTAAAAAAATAAAGACTGAGTATTTACGTAATAATGTACAAGGTGTATTTTTAATCATGGTCACGGTTCTTAGGTGTGTATCTGCACCTTTAGATCGGTGAAGATTTTTTCAATAACGTGCCACAAAATTGTTCATAACAATAACAATTATTGTTTATTTTTTCAATTTCTATGCATTCTATTTGACGAGAGGAAATAGTTTAAAAGGCACCGTATGTTGTAAATGCACGATTTTCGCATACTAAATTTTCAGTCCGACAAGAAAGCGCACTGGTATCTTTATTATACGTATGAGTCCTAGTAACTCTAATGGTGTGTATGCTCCATAAAGATAGAGAGGAGGTACGTATAATTTTTTTAGCGTGAAAACAGTGCATTTGGGAAGTATGAATTCCATAAAACATTTCCTGTTCTCGTCGTGTGGAATGCATACAAATAATGAAGTTAACATTAATTTTTCTTATTACAAACAATTTTGCAGTGTTCTTTTCTTTTGACTTTTAGAAATCTCCACGAATGTAACGGTGTAGATTTATCCCTGAAAGCCATGTCCATGATTAAAAATATACCCTGTACATGCGTCCTTTAAATGCGAGACATGTAGATGCGTATTTACATATATGTGTATATATGTATTTAAGTGTACACCGCGTGCGTGCATTAATGCTGAACTTACTATATTTATACACACCATGTATAAACGTATTATGAATGCAAGGAGAGGGAACAAACTGAAACTAACTTTGCAAAGCAAAGTACATCGAAGTAAATAACATGTGCATTTATATTCTAAAAGTACGTGTGTATAAATATGTGTAATATATGTATATGCACGCGCAGACACACCCACACATACACACCGGCCTCAAATCTGTTACAAAAAATATCACAATTAATTTTTTCATTTTGTACCAACGTTCTGTTGTGCAAAGATAAACATTGTTATGCGCGAAAAGTTAGGTTCCCGTATACGAAGCGTAACGTTCACAGATGTAAAGTATCAAATCTGTTAGAATTTTTCTATGTATAAATAGGGGAAGCTCAGCAAAAACTTCACATTTTCACGCGATAAGAAATAGAGTAACTATGTGAAGATTTAAGAAACAAGTTATAAACGCTTTATAAAGTTGCATTTTACGTCAAATAACAATTATCATTTTCTATGCATGATACACTTGTCAATTCGTCAATCGTATTTCCAGATGTACAAGTATTGTAAGAACCTTTGTACATGAACATTTTCTAAATGTTGTCCCTCGATGTATGAAAATGTACGTAGTATAATGTACGTCTTTGAAGGCACTGAAAATGCCTTAACAGTAAATGTTACAGTGTTTTAGGAGAAGAAATTAACATTACTATAAAACAAGGTATGGTAGTCCACTACTTTCAGCTTACATTTATTTATTATTGACCTCCAGTGATTTATATATAATAATTTCAGGTGCTTTATTAAGCATATCAAAAGCTTTGGTTTGTATTTCTTGCCCATATATTCACATTTACATAATACTAAGCATGAGTCCTAACGATCGTAATGAGAAATATTGTAAACATGTTTGAGCAATCTTATGTTTCATAAATTTTTTATTGTAGGTTCTAATGAACTTAAATATATGTACATAATTTTGTAAAATTACTGTTTCAATATATACGTTTTTTGTTTGTAAGTAATAACTTTGTTACATATTTGGATAAGCTAATGTCATACATTTGAGTGATAACAATCTTATGAAAAGCTTCTACATGTAAAAAAGGAAAAAAAAACAGATATGTGGACCCAGAAACCGGAATTGTGAAATGTGACATAAGCTGCTATACAATCTGTATATACAGGGTGTAACTGAAATGGGTTGCCAAACTTTAATATCGTATTTTGCTATTTCGAAGGATGAAAGAACGGTCATATAAACATAGGTCTAAAACACTGTCCAAAATATTAACACGTCTCAGATGTTGTCGAAGACTGTCAAAAGTTTCTGGTTTATTTCGAATTTTGTCACATGCAGGAATAATTTGGTTTCTAAGATTGTCTGTAGTAATAGTATTACTATCATGCACTAAAATTTTAAGGTGTCCCCATAAATAAAATTCCGAAGGACTTAAATCAGCAGAGCGTGACTTACTGATATCTTGGAAAGGAAGAGTTTCTGAACCTATCTTTATATGATCTTTTTTCATCTTTAGGAAGAGCAAGATATGATACCGAAGTTTGGTCACCTATTTTGGTTATACTCTGTATAAACAAGAGTAGATGTTTTAATTAAGTAAGTTGTATTCTGAAAGTGTGCCTAGAGTAACTAGTACACAGTATAAAGTATAAAAAGTAAAGTAAATTTAATGTAGAAACATTTTTAAAAGTATGCATTTTTACCAATATTTTTACGTATTTTGAATAATGATTTAAATATATAAATTAAAAAAGTACGTTTCGTTGATGCAGCGCAGTTTTAATACGTTCATATGTATAACTTATAGGAGTCCACAAAGAATGAACTTATACTTTTACAATAATTAATATTAGTTTCTGCAAATATTTTTAGTTACTGTACATTTTGTATGAAGATTACAGTTCAATGTATTACAAAAATGTATGTATATAATTTTTGTTCAATTTTTTGTTTGCTCATTACACTTCTATTAATACTTACTATTAACACTTAATTGCAAATAATTACATGTGTAATGAAATTAAATTTAGAAAACTGAATGAGTTTATAAAGTATTTTTATTTTAAAATACATTTATAACATAATAATAAGCTATATTGACCTGCTTAAAAATAAGGGGGATTTTTTAAATAATTCGTCAACTTTTAATTTGAACAACTCACTTTGGATAGGTTCATTTAATTGACACAGAGGATTCTTTACAACATATTCTAAGTAAACCTGCAAAACATTAATTATATAGTTTCATATTTTTTTATATTTACTAAAAAAATTTTCTAAGTATGTAGCAGTACAATAATAAAATATACAAGATTTATTTACTCACCTCTTTGTACAATTGTTGTAACAATTCTCTAGCATTTTGTGTAGCATTATCTGTATTTAACACAAATTTTAATCCAGATGGAGTTTCAAAATAATGCAAGGTATATTTACTGGTTTTATAATACAAAAATCCTTCCTTTGGGTCCAGTGGAGATATTTTACTTACAAACGATTTAATAGAAAATAACATTCCATACATCAATTTTGCTTCCTAAATTTTCAATTGACAAACTTTTTAGTTACAATTTTTACATAAATTACACAAACGCTTTGTTGTAAACAAGTACCTTCATCGATTTAATTAAAAAAAAAACGAAAAAACTGTTTATCAATGATTTTTTCTATAATGATTTAAGGGAAATTTAAACTTAGAGGTTATAAATTGCATACATTTTATAATTTTTAAATAATAATTTGATGTAGTTGCTCGTACATACCTCTTCTTTCGTGATTCCAGATTTGTTCAACCTATTCCATTCGGCATAATACAGTAATGTTCCATTTTTGGAAAATATGTACAAATTGTGAATTGTCATAATCTTGCTTTCACTGACGTATTTCTTGTGTTGTATCAATAGTTGTTAAACTTAATCGATTACTTATCGACGGTGGCATAATAATATGTTTTCTACAAATACCTAAAGGTGGCCAGACTATTGCATTTCTGTTTGTGATTTTTTTTATCTTATATTGTATCATAGTCAACGTGTAATTTTATTACAGACGAACTGTATATACATTATGCCACAGACGAGGTATAGAATAGACTTATCACCTAATGTATTTTTATGTTCAAAGTTCTGAAATACCGATCGTACAAAATATCAGAGGTTTTGTTACGCCCTCTACGATATAAAGCGGTGAATTTAGGAATTATATACAATCCAACCATAAAATATAGTAAAGACGACAGATGTAAAAGGTTCTTTGTTAAATTGGCATGTAAAGATATTTACATACACTATGCTCATTTTAAATGGCTACTGAGACGTATTCAAAATACTACCTATTTTTCGTAAGCCGTTGTTGAGTTATTAACTTTCAAAGTTTACGTGCCATCGGCATAGCGTTGTCGGATATATGTACTACTTACTTATATATGTCCACCGCGGTCAGGAAATACTAATTATTCCATAATTAAAATACTTGAAAATAAGCCAGAAACTGTATTTTACTACCTACATTGTTAGTAATATTAAAGCAATTCAAAATTAATTGTAAGTATTAATTAAATATAGTAGAGAAATGAGTTGAAAAGGATTAAGCAAGGATAGAGAATTTTCAAAAGTGAAACTAACGCCATCTCGTGTCTGGTTCCGCGAACTAACGACTCATTACTAGGAACACAGAATATAAACAGAGGTATTAGACAAGGAACGCATTACTGTGCGAGAAAGACAGAGAGCAAACGCTTCCTATTGGCTGGCGGGCCGCCATGCTCCACCTATCAAGCCCTAAGTAAAGTTGGTCAGGGAAAAATCATTAATAACTCAATAATTACAATGATTCTGTAAACTTTTAGAATTGAAGAATGAAGTGTGGACCTTCAGCAACTTTCCCATATAGATTTTAATGCACTAGACCCCTTCAATAATTAATTATTAACAATTTTAGTACGTGATGTCGGGAAGGATACCGCATACCGTCAAGTACCTTTACGGTTTTTCAATAATTTCATACCTTTCTACTAAATTCTCATGCAACTAACTAGATGCATCTGAAAGCTAACTCCTTTGGCTGCATTGACATATAATCTTTACTAACATATTCGGTTCAGTTTAAGAGTTATTAAACATTATATGGAAGAATCTCCTATTCAACATACTGTAGTATAGTCAACTGTTATAAACAATTGGTAATATCTAATAAAGTACATGACGTACGTATATAAAAATGATTGCAGAATGTACATAAATGTCTGTACTATATTCTGCATGCTTAAAAGTGCACAATTAATCATTCATATTCGTGAAAATAACGAAAATCCTTTACGTTTGGCTGGGTCGAGTGTAGTACTCACCCAAATATTTAATATCTCGTGAACCATGACGGATATGTTAATCAAAATATAACGAGAAACTAGCTAAAGGAATAGCCTTTGGAATGCATATATAAAAGTGTATAAATTAGTTGTGCAAAGTTACAAAATTACTGAAAAACCAGAAGAGTGTGCCAACATCCCGTAGTAAAATTATTAATAACTAATTACAGAAAGGAATTAGTACAATAAAATCTATATGGAAAAGTTGCTGAAGGTCCACACTTCATTTTTCAATTCTAAAAGGTTACAGAATCATTGTAATTATTGAGTTATTAATGATTTTTCCCTGGCCGACTTTACATAGAGCCTGATAGGTGAAGCATGGCGGCCCGTCAGCCAATAGGAAGAGTTTTCTCTCTGTCCTTCTCGCAAACTAGTGCGTTCTTTGTCTAATACTTCTATTTATATTCTGTGTTCCGAGTAACGAGTCGTTAGTTCGCGCAGCCAAACACGAGATGGCGTTAGTTTCACTTTTAAAAAATTCTCTATCCTTATCCATCCCTATTCCCTTCCGTGTCTAAATCATTTCTGTAGTGCTATCCTTACCTACCCGTATTTCTTTCCTTATCCTACTCAATTCTGTATTGATAAATACCTGGACGAGTTATCTTTCGTTGTAAACACGGCTAAATAAGTCAGTAGATATATCGGATTGTGTGGGTAGAACTGTTCACGATCTTTTCACAGCAGTAGAACACGCCCATGTGATGAATCATCAACTACTAAACAATTACGTTACTTTTTATTTGTAATTTCATAGTTACGTTTAATTTTAATTCCAACCACTACTAATGTAATCTTGTTCTATGCTAAATCGGTAACGTTGGGAGCGACACAAAAATGGTAAGGGTCTTCTCGGCCCCCGTGCCGGGGACACAAATTCCCATAAGGTATTAAGCTATCCTGTAAGTACGTCGTCTGTGATAATGCTTTAGACGAGGTACAAAACCGATCTATCATCTTATGGGACTTTATGTCTTACGTTCTGAAATACCGATCATGTAAAAAATCAGAGATTTTGTCATACTGTCTGCGATAATAAAGCGGTGAATTTAAGAATTATATATAATACAATCTAACTATCAAAAATTGTAAAGTCGACAGATGTAAAAAATCCTCTCCTGTTAAATCTGTCTATAAAGATATTCCGCATTAAAGACGTTAGAAAAATTTCGACCTCTGAGAAATGGTTGTATTCATCACTTACTCCGAATCCGAAAATTTTCTATAAGTAGTGTGAGTCAATTATTTCTCAGACGTTGAAAATTTTTCTATTCGTTGCTTTAATATTTCAAACACAGACATGATACTTACGTTTGTGGTTGCAATCAATAAGCATTACTCGTGCCACAGACGAGGTTCGTCTGCGGTATTACAGACGAGGAATGAGATCTGTATTCGATCGTATTTGTTGGCAGTAGTAGAGATCCAGTAATAACCAGTCGGAAATAACGAGGGAAAAGTAGAAACGGTGGCGTTAGCGTCGTATCACAGACGAGATCGAATTGTTCTCTCTTAATTATTTACGATACCGACGGGTTTCGTCGGGGATATAGGAATTTCAGTTATCACGCGAACCTATTGCACTGGTACAAGACGTACTCATGGTCGAAGCTCCGTGGCGCGTTTATCGTTTCGAGCACTTTTATTAACGCGCAAAGGTATCGTGGCAGACGAGTACCGAGCTCAGCACATAAAACGTCGCTTTTCGATCGGCCCTCCCCTCCAACGTCGAGCGTGCCATTTGGCTTTTCACCGTTTAAGTAGAGTCAAGGGGAAGCTAAAGCCGACCAAGCTCGAGAAGAGCTTTACCGTGGAGTCATATAATAGCTACGCGAACGACGCTATGCAAGTAAATACGACACAAACGAGAATGTAGGAAAGTAAAGCGGAGAATAAATTGAAACGGCGGGCGCGTCGTTGTATAATAAATTATGGATGATATGCACTGGTACAATGCCTATGGGCAGTGGGCTTGCAAGATGAGTGAAAATTAAAAGTATCATCGGTCGTGTTTGTGAAATTGAAACGAGCAGAAGATAAGTAGAGGGCTCCGTAGTCGATGGAAACTTAACCGTGCAATATTCATTGTTTACAGTTGAAAGGTATTGAAAACATTCGACGAGTTTTCTTCTTAACCGACTGGATTAGACATTTTTATATCGCTCGAATATTTTTTTGCTATATTCACGCATACATATATATACGTACGTCAAATCATGCGTACGTGCCTTTAATATCGACGAGAGGTTGTTAACAGTGGTTGATACGAAAATATCACCGTATAAAACGTACGATCGAATCGTCAGTGGCTAGAATGATTCGATAACAATGACCTAAGCTGTAAATCAAATGAAACGCAGCAGCGTACGCGTCGAACCGACTGTGTTTCGAGTGCACGATGAGCTTCGAGTTTGCTGCACACGGGGCTACGCGCTTGTGTAATATAATCACTCGTTGGCCAAATGTTTGAAACAGCCAGCTTAAAATGGTACACATATAGAGCCGTAGCCTGTGCTACCAGGACTATATTGACCCTAACGCAAGCTTACCAAGTTTGTCCAATACCGTCCCTTCCGCCGTGGTCGCTTGTCTGTTAATTTCATTCGCAGCGGCTGGTGCACCCGCGGCGACTTGGCTCGAATTGGTTAGATTCAACTGATTTAACGGTCAATTTATCGATAACCGTTGATCGTGCGTCTCCCTTCTAGCGAAACTGTACTACTGCCAAAGGGAGAGAGAAAAAAACGTTTTTCGCAACGGTATTTAGTATGCGATCGAGTCGCAATAAAGCGACCTACGATAAACTAATTCTGCGTATTGACAGAGTGTAGTAGATATCGCTTTTACCGGCAGTATTACATCGTTGTGAGTCGCAATAACGACCACGCGGCTGCGACTTTTGTTCGTTTGCCTGTGTTTGTTTGCAGGCACGTTTGTTTGTTTGTTTATTTGCTCGTTCTCTCGTTCCCTCGCTAGTTCAGCCTTATTTGTTGTTTCTCTCTTTTTCGATTGGCCCCTTTCGAAATTCACCAAGTTCCATGTGAAATTCGAAAATTGCAGCCAATGAACGAGCCGAATTTTTTCGCTGATCGGGCAGGAATTTTCAACGTAGAGCTTCCTTTCTTCGATATATACTGATCGTGTCTTGAAGTGGTAGTGGTGGGAAGGGAGGGAATCCGCTGATCGGATTACTGTGGAACTGTGAATCGAAGCCTGGTCTTCTTTTGTTCGACAGTCAACTTTCTGTGTGTCGATTGAGTTATTCAGAACAGATTCTTTTTCGTTGGCTTTAGCACACGAAAGTGACTGCAGTTTTTTTTCATAGTTCCGACGGTTTTGGTGATTTATGAGGGCATAAATGGAGAAGACGGAGTAAGACCTTTATTTCTGACAGATTTTTCTTGTAAGGTTACTGCGTGGGGATGAACGATGTTATGATAACAAACGAAGGTTTCATTAACCGTTTTATTAACGTTATGGCAAAGAGCATTTCCTTGTCCAACTGTGCAGTAGAAAATGATCTTTCGCGTTGTGTGAGAAAGAACACTTATTATTTCCTTCTTAATTAACGTTTCATCATTGGGATGTAGATTTATTTGGAACGATGTAAAATTTTAATTAATAATTAGTCAAAAGTTTTACTAGTATCTTATTTATTAATTTTGAAGCGTTACATCGAATAAATAAGTAAATAAATATATAGATAAAAGAGCATTTCCTTGTCCAACTGTGCAGTATAGAATAATCTCTCGCGTTATATGAGAAAGAATTATTTCCTTCTTAATTAAAGTTCCGTCATTGAGATATATGTAGATTTATTCGAAGTAACCTAGAATTTAAGTTAACAATTAGCCAAAATTTCACTAGCTACTTTACTTATTAATTTCGAAGCGTTGCATCGAATAAACAAGTAAAGAAATTCGATGCAACTTCTTAGTTGCGTGTGAAGACGAGAATCGATGGAAATTCCTTGACGTCACGCGGCGGCGTGGCACGTGATTTAATCCCGCGGAAATCCCCGGAAATATTTCGCGGTGCATGCATTCCACGCGCGGAGGCTGTATAATTCGCGAAATTTGTGAGTTACAGGTTGGATCTTTATAAACGATAAGCCACAGCTTTTGTTTGCCTCACAATCACGAACGGGTGCGGCGCAGGAGGATTCCATATGTGCCACCGGGAAGCAAGTTTGCAAATCGTCCCCTTTATCCGGAACTCGTAGAGCAGATTTGTTCACCTTCCCCATTCAAAACCGGTCCCTCCCCCTTGCAGCAGCGCCGCTGCATACGCGATCGGGAGATAGCGAGATCATCCTCCGCTTGTTCTGCCGGATATAAAACTTTTTTTTTCTTTTTTTTTTTCTCACCAAC